TCCTGAAGGAAAAGAGACCCGTAACGTCCGGATTTGCCTTCCTCTGTTTATATCAGCAACAAACTAATAAAGTGAAGATTAGCCAGAACAGGCCAGGATTATGGGCCAGGGGGCCGGGGCAGCGCTTGCTGTGCCTCACAGCCCAGAGGAATGCCCGCTTGCCCGCGGGCAGCACGTCCCCCGTAGCCTGGGCGAGGCTGGGAGAGGGGTGGTGCCACCCACGGCGGCCCCGCCAAGGCAAAACCCATGGCAAGGCTGGAGTCACACCCACTCTGGGCAGCAAACTGGGCTCTGCATGAGGAAACCAGAAATGGGCAGAGGGGCCAGGGGTGGCGGAAGATGTCATGGCATGCCTTTTGGCAGCCACTTTAGTGGGATGCTGCAAGGGGATTATCTTGGCCTCAATCTTTTTTAATCTCTCCCGCGGCTTTGGCCCAAGCCTGAGATAAATACCTTTTAACGGATCTCATCTGACGTCAGGAGGCCATCAGTCTAATCACCCAAGCCACCTTTGGGCAAAGCAAGCCAGAGATGTGGACACTGGCCCCTCACCCCAACACATCCCCACCAAGGAGGAACCATCCAGCATCCTCACACAAACCATCGGGATGGATGTGTGAGCGCCAGGAGGCATTGGACCTCTCACCAGGAGGAGGGAACCTGAAATGCACACATCAAATTGTCTTTCTCATGTAACCCTGGAGAGGATGGGAGGCAAAAAGGGTTGTTGATGCAGGTTCCCAACATTGCACTTTAAGGAAATGCTTGGATTCAGAGTGAGGAAAGTCTTCCCTTTCCATGGAACAGGGGCCCAGTGCCAACAATGACGAGGGGATCACCCATCTACTCTGGCCCTACAGGCTTCCTCCATTTGAGCTGTTTTTGGGCTCTCCATGCACAAGTCTCCTCAAGGCCTGAGTATGCCATGACCACAGATTGATCTCCGGCCTCAACGCTTCCTAGGAGAAGGGTCAGCAGTGACCCTTTTTGATACTCCACATCCACCCTGTTCAATTCCTCTTTGGCTACAATATAATCCCATCTCGGGACACTAATCCCCTGGGCAGTGACAGCAGATTGCCTTTGTATCAGGGTGGCAAATGATAAACAATGTATCTATCTCTCCTGCTTTTGGGGGCAATACGGTGCATGGAGAGGAGGAGAACTAAAAAAAACAGAGGCCTTGCTGCAGTGAAACACTAGAGTACAGTGCTTTTTCTTAAAGGCACTACCCACCCTTTCCAGGGGTTAGTCATGGCAGAGCTGACTCCCTCTCTTGCTCTCCCTCATTGCAAGTAGCTGGCATCTGGGCCAATGCTTTGTTGTCTTTCACTGAGGGTTCAATATCCTTCCCATCATTTGTTAATTAAATTCCCATCAGCAACAAGTGTGCATGTCTCCCTCCTGGTGTACAGACTCAAACTCCTACCAACATCTGTGTCCAGCATTTTGCTTTTATGCCATATATTCACAGTACCCTCACCTTGCCACTCTGAGACCAGCTGTGAGGTTCTGGAGTTTGCAGGTGCCCAGGAAAATTAGAGGCTCGTTTTGAGTTCCTGAACGTGAGACAAGTCCTTGCTGATAGACCCCAGGCTCCTCCTTCCCCTCTCAGTTTTGGTCCCAGATGACTAAGAAGCTGGCACTGAGAGTGGTGGGGGGAGGACACCCTACCTTCTTACTTCTGAGTGACACAAACACATTGGTGAGGCAGTGAAGAAAGCTCCTGATGTCACTGACTTTAATACTCTGTCCCTGTTCCTATTTTTCTGCTGCTGGGGTGTCACAGAGAAGAAAGCTGCATCCCTTCCCATCACTATGGCTCTAGCATGCTAATACACTGCTCCAGGCACCTGGTCCCAGTGCTACTGTGACCCGCCAGGCATGCATGCATCAATCCTGCCCCCAAGGCCCTGTGTACTCAGAGCTCATCTCTGACCCGCAGCTCCTTGGGGTGCTGTGTCCTGTCTGACACAGGTTTGTGCCTCCAGCTCGTGGACCTGGCTCTGCTGTTGGGAGTGGGAGGCTCTGAGGAGGATCTGCTGCCCCGAGCAGCCCCCTGACATTCTTCTCCATCAGGCTGGTTCTGCTGCACCCTGTTCTTCTCCATCAGCTCCTCTGCCTTCACCCGTTCCTGCAGCCATGGAGAGAGAGATGATGTGAACTCCTCCTTGCTAGGGTCTTGGCTCTGCTCACAAGGGCTAACAAGACATATCTCATCTTTGTCCACACCCACCCATCCCCTCCAGAGCCATTCTGTCATGCAGGAGCCATCTCAGGCTGACCCCTCGAACAGGTACCTTGTCAGACAACAACCCCCAGCTGCTGCAACAGACCTTGCCTCATGGGAAAGCCCACAAACCACTCCTTTGGGGGATTTGATCTCGCTTGGAGGAACTTCCTTCTCCAGCATAGCCCTTTACCTGCTCAGCATGTTCCTGGGAGTGTGTGTACCAGAGCGCAATGGCGCAGCGCCTGCCACGCCTCACTGCCCACACGCCATGGGGGTTGTCCTTGCCAGAGCTGAAGGCCACCAGCCTCCCACACTTGGGCTGCACCTCAGCCTGCCAGGAGAGAGAGGAGAGACAGTGATGCTAGCAGGGCCCTGCTCTGGGGTACATGGCCCTTCCACAGAGGTCATGCTGCCTCTGGGAACGTGGAACAGCAGAGCGCTGCTAAGCATCCGCTGCCAGTCTATAAGCAAGGTAGACCTTGGGGAGAAACAGGGAGAATCGAAGGGACAGCACAGGTCCCAGACAGCCACAAACTAGAATAGTCTGGAACAACTCAGCTAGGAAGGAGTTAACCCCTCCTTTGTCTGAGATTTGCCTCAATTTGCCTTTACCTGCCCCTATTCGAATCTGTCAGGACACCAGCACCGAGTTGTTTTCGGTGGGATCCAATAACCAGGCAGCTTCCTCCCACCCAGACTAAGGCTCACCCTCAGTCCTCTCCTCCTTTCGGCCCATCCCAGACTTACTGTGACAGTCACAGTGTCCATTTCAGTGAAGAAAAGGCCCCCACCTTGGAAGTCATCATTGAGGTAGAGAATGCCACTGTGGACAAACAGAAAAAGGGCACAGAGATGGTGAAGCTCAATTCTCCCAGGTTCTTCCCCACAATCCTTGTCGCAGGAGGCTGTGGATACCACACAAAAAAACCGAGCAGAGTAGGAGCTGACAGGAGAATCCACTTGGGAGTGTTTAGTACAGCAGTGTCTAGCTCAGAGGAGTGCCTGAGCTGCAAGCCACAGGAGGCTGGCAGAGTGTATGCCAGAGAGTTAGCTCTGCACGCCTGTCCTGGTTTGGTTTACATTTTAATGCTCTGCAGCACGCATCTGTGGCATTATTGTGACAATGCCCTGGGCTAGACAGACCTTGGTTCTGACCTGGCATGACATCGTTTACATTTTAATATTGGGAACAATCCAAAGCCTGGAAAAGGAGACTGATCAGCAGAGAGCCATGTCTGCAGAGTCAAGGAATTCAGGCTAACACAAGAATGGTCAAAAAGAGGCTTACTGCATGCAGGAAAGAAAATTAAAACAAAAAAATTCTTTACTAATGTTGGACAAAAAGAGAAGTAGTGAGGCCTTGTGCAGTGCAGGTGAGACCACGGTCAACTAAGTGAAAGAATGGACCACAAACTACTTGAGTTCCCCCTGGTATTCAATTAAGCTGATAGAAAATGTCATAAGAACAAGAGAGACTCATTAATGGGACTGAGAAAGAAACAGAAACCAACACTGTGGCTGCTGAAGCAAATCATTAAGGACATAAGGACAGGGAGAGGATTACCAGCCCTGAAGCCCAGGAAGTTACAGCCCTTCTGCCATAACCAGACTGTGAAGTCAGGGTGGGAGCACGGCTGGACAGCAAGGAGAGCTCTCACACACACGAAGGGGCAGGAGGGCAGGGATAATGGCTGAAGCATAAACTGGCCTGTTAGCCTGACTCAGCAGCCTGCAGGGCTTCACACTCAATTTCTGAGGAAAGGGATAACTGAAGGACAAAAGGTGAATGCAAAATGGTCTTAAAATGTAACAAGGGGGTACTAAAAGCAGCTTGGGCTAGCTGCACAATCTTTGACAAAACACTTGATTTCCCAGGGAAAGACAGCATGCTCCACCTCAGTAGTTTGGGCTGTGGTGGAAGTACTCAGAATGGTGCCACTAGAGAAGTTACTCCTGAACATAGCCAAGGTGAAGAAGAGCACGTGAAGAGCACACAGTGACCAGCACACCACTGGCACCTGAAGGAGCCCTGTTTGCCTGGAGGATCCTGGAGGATCACTGGGACTCTTGGACCCTTGTATCCAACCCCACTCAATAGTCTCACTAATGACCACAGAACAAATACACAGAAGAGATCCAGGATGTTTGGAGTGCCAGGACCTCTTTCAAAAGGACACTGGAAGAGCTCAGCCCTTGTGAGTTGGTTGGCCAATCACAATTCACTCTTATAAGAGGACAGGAATACTCCTGAAAGTAACTCAGATGTATAGACTCCTGGAAGATATTTTAGCAATTTTAGCATATATTCAGGTACAAGTCAGAGAAGCCCATTACCCAGGGAGGAGTGAGGTGACAGGATAGCTTTCACACAGGAGAGACAGAGATCTAACCAGTCACACGACAGAGCCTGGTAACTTTACAATCTGGCTATACCAAGTCAACATCTGTATCAGAAGGGAAATGGGCTTAACACTGGAATTCCTTTTAAGTCCCACATCCTTTCCATAGGCTGCTCAGAGAAGATTTCTGCTCTGAGTACATCTACCACTTCACAAAAAGGCAAGTAAGATTTCTGGATGCCCAGGAATGGGATGGTAAATAGAAGGAATCAACTGTAGTGAAGTGACCTTGTTTGGCTGCAGCCCACAACAGTTGTCACCAACTTTAAAATATATTTCAGGTTCTTTCACAGAAGAGCAACAAAATCTGCTGCAGGCTGGAAAAAATCTCTCACATGGAATGGAGAAACCCAACACAAAGTCTTGGCAGTGAATGTTGAGAGAGATGAACAGAGGGAACAGTCACCAAAGTACACGGACTGCTCAAAGAAAATTCACAGAGCATGGTTCTCCCTCTCCTGTAATGCACAGAACACTGTGAAAGATGGAACTTGATTAGAGGAGACAGACTGTCATAAGTGCTAGAAGTGGACTGTAGGAGACCAACAAGACAACAATCTGATATCATGGTTCTAATACACGCAGACTCCCAGCCTCGTTCTGCTCTCTTAATGCTGGCTGAGGAAGAAAGGAGAAAGGGCAAATCTTCTTCCTAGCCTGGGCAAGGTGTTTCACACCTCCTTCTGAAGACACTGACACAGCCTCCTGCCTGATGCTACAGTCCTGGCTGGCTTTGAGCCAACAGCTCACCGCCTGGTTTCTATATGCTGAGCTCACCCTCACTGGGCCAGGGAGACATTCTGATCTCTACAGGACCTAATGCAAATCCCCTTCTCCTCTTACCTATAGTCCCTGTACACATAGGCAGGCGGCTCTCTCCAGCACTCTTGCCCCTCAGGATCCAAGAGACAATTATCAGCATGCACAGGATGACTAAGATCCATGCGACCTTCCTGTTCATCTGAAAAGGGAAGTTACAAAAAGGAATACAGGCATTTTCAGTTTCAGGAAAGAATAAGGCAGAGAGAAAGGGACACAGTGAGAGTAAAGGGAAGAGAGTCTCTCGAGAGCACACAGCTGGGACTGAGGAGGCTCTCCAGGAGACAGGGACTAACAGGGTGAAAGATTCTTTACCGTCTACAGCTGTGCGGCACACGAGGTGTGTGAAGGAGAAGTGGAGTTTCTTCCCAGGAGTGAAATAAGACTCTATGATTTTCCGTGATTTCTCGCTGGCCTGCAGAAGCAATTTGGCATCTCTCCAGTCCACGTTGCCATTCTGGGCCAGCTACAAGTGAAAACCAAGCCAGTTAGAAAACCAAGCCACTCGCATGCCAAGACACTCTAAGCAATGATACACGTACACAGTACAGAAGAAGAGACCTGTGTAAAGTCTTGTGGACACACACGTGAGAAAAAGAACATGTTTTCTCATGTAAATGCAAGTCAGGAGTACATCTGTACAGCACTGCAAGTCTTTCCCCCTACTCAGCACAAGAAGCCACGTCTGGAATGCAGCATCATTTTGGGTGCCCCAGCACACAAGGGCCACTAGCAAACTGGAGTGAATCTTGGCTGAAGGGTCTGAAGAGGGCAGGGTGTTGGAGAACACGTCTAACAAAAAGTGGCTGAAGGAGAGGGGTCTTCAGACTAGAGAAGAGAATGCCAAAGGAGGATCTAACTACAGTCTCCTGTCACCCAAAAGGGGGTTACAGAGAAGATGGAGACAGTCTATTCTCAGAGGCACACACTGGAAAGACAAGAGGAAAGAGGCAAAAGCTGCAGCAAGGGAAATTTTGGCTAAATATAAAGAAAAACTTCTTCCTTCTGAGCAGCACTGAAACAGGTGCCCAGAGAGGCTGGGGAATCTCCACCCTTGGAGATGTTCAGGACTTGCCTGCGCAAAGCCTTGAGGCATCTCATCCAGCTTTGGAATTAGCCATGCTGTGAGCGGGGGGTTGGACAAGAGATCTCCAGAGGCTCCTTCCACTTTAATTTAGTCTCCAGTTCTAAGCTAAGCACGTCTGTAAGAATACCACATGGGGACAAGCAGCAATCCCAAAACCTCATCTCACAGGAGAGAAAGCACTTGTCAACCCCTCCATGTACAAAGTGCCCAAACAGGATTGTGGAGGAAAAGGGTCAGGGGAGACAGCACGTGCTTGTGAGGCAGATAACACACCCATGACCCCATCCAGAGTACACTTCACAGAGAGAAACACTCA